TCACCATTAAATTATCCATTTTCTTAACCATCATTAACCATCATGAAAATCCAGCCATGTTCCACTAAACCACCAAGTTCATTAACCATCATTAACCACCATTAACCACCATTCACCATCATTAACCATCATTAATCCAGCCATGTTCCACCAAACCACCAAGTTCATTAACCATCATTAACCACCATTAACCACCATTCACCATCATTAACCATCATTAATCCAGCCATGTTCCACCAAACCACCAAGTTCATTAACCACCATTAACCACCATTCACCATCATTAATCCAGCCATGTTCCACCAAACCACCAAGTTCATTAACCATCATTAACCACCATTAACCACCAATCAGGTGGAATCGTCTTTCGAAGCGACTGAGTTCCCACGAAGCATCGAAGGGGGCTCTGGCTCCAAAGGCTTGGAAGTCTGCAGTCCTGGTGCGTCTCCGACAACAAAATGTCTCTTAAAAAAAACGGATAGAACAAAATATAGAGGAAATAAATGGCTATTAATATAGAATATAATGGCTAATATAAATATAATGGCTATAATGAATCTATATAGAATCTATATGGCATGAACAGAACAGAAAATATAGAGGAAATTTTGAGTAAATGAAAGTAATTATAGCTAATTGATGCTAATTGCAAATCAATCATCAGAAAGCAAATAGAGCTGGTCAGATTGCTGGAAAGTCCACGATCCTAAAATGAAGGTACCTCCAGGTACCTGAAAAGGTCATTGATCAGATGCATATCAGACTGGGAAAACGGGACTGAGACCTTCAAGGGTGAGACAAGAGTGAGACTTTTGGAACATGTTTTTTTTACACATGTTTACAGTATGTTTACGACGTTTTAGATGTTTTAGGCTTTGCGCCTGTCCATCTGCAGCAGAACTGGGCGGTTGCTCTTCAGCACCGCGACCCCACAGGCACCGCATCCTGGTGCAAAGAGCATGGCCTGGAGCAGCGACTTGTGACCGTTGTGTCATGTGTCTGTCGTCGGTTATGTAAGTTATGTCATGTACCAACGGAACCCTCTCGACATCGTTGATTTCGTTGCCGTTGGTGCACCGTTGGTGCGTGCGTTTCTCACAGTTTGGCCTTGCCACCGTAGGCACCACCGAGGCGTTGGTTCTGCACCGTGATCTTGCCTGTCGCGTTGCAGGGTCTGGATCCCTGTTTAGATGACTCGCACAACAAGCCGAAAAAAAAATCTGAAGTCAATGCGGGTCTTGGAACTCCGATATGCCGAAAACATCCAAAAACTCTCTCACCATTTGCTGGTTTGATATGGTTTGATCATATTTTGCCACATGCTTTGCAGCTCAGCTGCTCTTGGGCATATTCAATGTCTTGGCCATTTGAGTCTGTGCCCAATCCAACCTTGGAGGAAAATGTTGGAAACACTGCGCAAAGATGTGCCTTTAGATATGCCTTTAGTAAAAACTGAGTTGTTGGGTGATGCATTGAGTCTTCCAATCTGTGGCCAATCGGATGGAGCAACTTTCCACTTCACAGCTGGTCTCCCAGACATCCCCAGACGGATGCTGAGCAACGTCTGACACGCAGTGTTGAAGATCAGACCTCAAGTCTCAGTTTGAAGCTAAAGAATCAAAGGAACACAAAAAATCAGACTTAATCAGACTTAATCAGATTTAATAATACTTAATGCCCTTCTTTTCCTGGCAAGACATCCGAAAATTAAAATCAGCCAAGCTTCCTCCAGTGGAGTCAGGGTATGCCTAAGCTGTCTGGAGTCTAGTCATAGTATCATAGCATGTCAAATCTGTAAGTTTGATATACCCGGCCAGGTAAACATAGAAAAAACTATGGAAAATCACCACTTTATAGCTAAATCCACTATAAATCACCATTTTCCATAGAAAATCACCATTTTATAGCTGGGTAAATCCACGTCATTTCGACTGGGCCATAGAAAACTCACCGTTTCCGCCGTTTTGATCCGTTTTGCCAAGCTGCATAGGTCGTCTGGGTCTCCAGGTAAAAATGTTTCTGTCCAGCTGAAACCACTTTGCCTGGACGATCGGATCACCGGCCTGGTAAACATACAAAAAGCTATTGAAAATTACCATGTTTAAATATTTTTAATAGGTAAACCGGTAAACCATCTATTTCTATGGGCCATCTATACCATGGCGAACTGTGAAATAACCAGAGGGTATATCAAACTTACAGATTTGGCATTCTCCAGAGTGCAGCGCAAAGGGCAAAGTGCGACGAGGCTCCTTGTAAGGTCTTGGGGCCTGTGACTTTCTGTCCAACGATCAGGGGGCCATGGCGTTCCTGTTGGCCGAAGGTTTGGCAGTTTGGCAGCTGAACCTGTATGATCTTCATTATATATATCCGCCGACCCCGGCAGACGCAAGGGGGAGCGCGCCAGGGAATAAGACAAGCAAAGACAAGCAAGTTTAGCCGCACTAGCAGCAAGAGCAGCGGCAGCAGCAGCAGCAGTTGTTTCTTGCTTTGGAAGCTGTTTGATTGCAGCAGCACAACACAGCAGGCAGCAGCAGACACAAGCAGACGCAGCAGCAGTAAGCGCAACGGCAGCAGTGCAGCAGCTAGCAGCACGAAAAAGTGTGTTTTTCTAGGATGGCACTAATGGGTGTCAAGAACGTGGGCCGTCCGGCAGGGCCTTGTCCAAAAAACTATATTGTTTTTCTAGGGTTTCAGAAGGGACGTTAGGCACTTTTTGGGCTCGATTTTGGAGCGTTTTGGGCACGAAATTAGGTGGCGTTTCAGCGTTTCGAGTGGTGTCCATGAGTCGAGCTGTTGCAGCTAGCTGACGTCAAAGCGACAGGACGCGACAAGACGGTTATCACAAAGGCAGGCAAAAGTTCTTTTTTTTCTAGGGTTTCAGAAGGGACGTTAGGCACTTTTTGGGCTCGATTTTGGAGCGTTTTGGGCACGAAACGGCCCAACATAGGCCCAAGCTGGCCCCAAGATGGCCCAACATGGGCCCAACATGGCCCCAAGATGGCCCAACATAGGCCCAACATCGGCAACCACAAATAGGGCCAACATCGGGCAACAGCAACAACAACAACGACAACAACAACAACAACAGTCGACGACGACGACGAGGACGCCGACGACGACGACGCCGCCGACGACGACGACGACGACAACGATACCAACAACCACCGCTTCTTTGGTCTCGAGCTCTGTGGCTGCAACAACAACAACAACAACGACGACGACGACGACGACGACGTCAACGACGACGACGAGGACGCCGACGACGACGACGACGCCGACGCCGACGACGACGACGACAACGAGACCAACAACCACCGTTTCTTTGGTCTCGAGCTCTGTGGCTGCAACAACAACAACGACGACGACGACGACGCCGACGACGAGGACGCCGACGACGTCGCCGACGAGGACGACGACGACGACGCAACAGAGGAACAACAACAAAAAAAAACAAGGACGACAACGACAACCACAACAACAACAACAACAACAAGAATAAGAACAACGACAACAACAATAACGACGACGTCAACGACAACAACAAGAACAACAACAGCGACGACGACGACGACGGCGACCGCGACGATGACGACTACGACGACGACGACGACAACGATATCAACAACCACCGTTTGTTTGGTCTCGAGCTCTGTGGCTGCAACAACAACAACGACGACGACGACGCCGACGTCAACGACGACGACGAGGACGCCGACGACGCCGACGACGCCGACGACGACGACGATACCAACAATCACCGCTTCTTTGGTCTCGAGCTCTGTGGCTGCAACAACAACAACAACAACGACGACGAGGACGACGAGGACGCCGACGACGACGACGAGAACGCCGACGACGACGACGACGCCGCTGCCGACGAGGACGACGACGACGACAACGATACCAACAACCACCGCTTCTTTGGTCTCGAGCTCTGTGGCTGCAACAATAACAACAACAACAACAACAACGACGACGAGGACGACGAGGACGCCGACGACGACAACGAGAACGCCGACGACGACGACGACGACGCCGCTGCCGACGACGACGACGACGACCACGACGACAACGATACCAACAACCACCGCTTCTTTGGTCTCGAGCTCAGTGGCTGCGTCTGTCTGTGCGACGGCTCACCCGACTATGGCTGCGTTGCGCTAGCCAGGGCAGTCAGCCCCCTCCACTGGGGAGGATGCTACCGGGATGCCCCAAGTCCCGGTCCCCGTCTTGCACAGGGGGGGGTTGTTCGGGCCCCCACCGACTCAGCTAGATCTCGTGGTAGACCTGGCGTGGTGTGAGGTGCGTACAGTGGCGGTCATTTGCGCTGAGTTCGACATGGTTGTGAGACCACGCACTGAGCGCTTTTGTTTTCTGCCTGCGACGGACAAGATCTGTGTCAGGTGATGGTTGACGCTGTGCGGGCTTGAGCGCTGCTCTGGCCACTGCTTTGCACTGTGCGCTGAGCGCTGCTCTGGCCGCTGTCTTGTGGCTTGCGTCGGATGCATGGGCGACTAAGGAGATTCGGTGTCGCGGCATGGTTCACCGGCACTCGCTCGAAAATAGTGGACGGGAAAGCGAGACAGCAGCGGGGGCCAAGCTAAGTTGGGTGGCTGCGTCTCTCTCCGTTCGGCCCCGTGGATTCGCGGGACGGGGTTGGGTAAGATTATTAACTTTTATTAACTGGGCTAACACAATGGTTCCCCTGTCTCGTCGGTTGTGTCGGTCTGGATTGCCTGTTGTGGGCAGTACTGGCTTCTAGGATGCTAGTGGAGGCACCAACCGGTGGGTGAACCAATGGTTCATCGCTGCCGTGTGGTTTTGCGGGACCATGCAAAGAAATGTTCTGAACTGGCTTCGGATTGTCGTGGATTCTGTAAAAGGTGGCATCAAAAATGGTTCCTCTCTGCCAGTTCTTCGTGGGCCTATGCCGGGGTAGATTATTAACTGGGTTGGGGGTGGTGGCTGATCTCTGTCATTTGGAAGCTTAGCTCGTCTCATGTTGGGCTATGGAAAAATGTCATATGCCGTTGGCTGGCGTCGGATGCATGGGCGACTAACCTCTGCGAAGCCTTTTCTTTGGGACCGTCAGTATGGCTGTTCCCGCCGCACGCCTCGCACGTCCATGTTGGCATGACCTGCGCATGGTATTCACTGTGCGTCCTTGGCCGTGGGCGACCGCAACTCTCACAGGGCGGATATGCACAGGCTAAACACCATGCACCATCTTGAGCTTTTGGACCAAGGATTTGCCCGCACTTGGGACAAGACTTGACTGAGCAGGCTTCGCAGGTCCACTGCGGCATGACGTTGACACGGTAACGACTTTCTTGCGGGCGTTGCGACCCACAGCTCTCACATGGTGGATATGCACACGCTAAACACAATGCATCCGTTTGAGCTTTTGCACCAAGAACTTCCCCGCACTTGGGACAAGACTTTACCGTGCAGGCTTCGCAGGTCCAGTGCGGCATGACATTGACATGGTACCGACTGGCGTTGCAGACCGCACATTGGACACGGCGGGTAACCATTGCGTCCACTGCATGCTTGACACAACCAAAGCGGCTTGTGCTGGGCGTGGTATCTTCTTTCATGTGGGCGGGGCTCGCCGCAACCTCCACTGCACGGTGGATATGCACATGTGGCACACCATGTGCCTGCCTCTGCATTGCTCGGTAAAGGGCCGGCACAGTTGGCACAGTGTTTCGCTGCATTGCAATGTTGACAAAACCATTTCGGCAGGTGTTTTGCATGGTTGGCTGGTCTTTGGGGGCGAGGCTCGCCGCAACCTCCACTGCACGGTGGATATGCACATGTGGCACACCATGTGCCTGCCTCTGCGTGGCTCGGCAAAGGGCCGGCACAGTTGCCACATTTGGGCGCTGCATTACAGCTCTTACAAAGCCAATGCGGTTTCTGTTTGGCATGGTGGGATGACTTTTGAGGGCGTGGTTGCCCACAACCTCCACTGCAAGGGGGAAATGCACACGCAGTGCACCAAGTCCCTGGAGTTGCATTTGCATGCAAGGGTTTCGCGCACTGTATGCAGGTCTTCGGTGCCCGCACTTGCTTTGCCATGCATGTACGGCAGACTCCGGTTTGAGATTCTGCATTGTAGTTCAGAAGGTGCGGCACACTGATGGCTTTGTTGCAATTGCTGCACAAACCCTGTTTTGCAGTTGCGGTCACTGGGGCGACGGCACACTTCTTACAGCGTGCTCTTCGGAGTTCTTTGGTTCTTTTTCTTCGAGTGATCTCTTCCGGGGTAAAATCTACCAGTCTTTTTGTTTTGATTTTTTTCCGATATCACACTTGCTGCATGCTAAGCGAATGGTGGCGCATTTCGAACAGTAGCCGGTCTGGTCGGCTGGCAACGTCTGGCAATATGCGCAGGAACCCACTTCCTTAGGCTTCCTCTTGGCTGCAGGGCTGCTCTGCTTCGTTTGACACTGGGTGCATAAGCGACACATGCCTTCTGACAGTACACGGTACCATTCCTCTTGGTCCCAGGCCGAAACGAATTCTCGAAGTGGCAACAGTTTCTCTTGTAGATGCGGTTGTGGGCTGCAACCGCGGCAAAACAACATGATGTCACGATTCCTTTGCTTGTTCGGCTTGTCTTTCTCAAATCGAATTTTGGCCTGTGCCAGTGTCAGCTTTTCGCGATGCACTTCTAAGAATGTGTGGGGTCCAATTAACTCTCCATGACTAAACAAGTTGGGGGAAAAAGGTTGGACTATACACAAATCTTCGCTTTTTCGGACTCTTGATAGGCACATGTACCCGCTTAGTTGTGCCTCGCGGGAGGTCGTGGCATCCCACGTGCCAAGGTCCAATGTGCATGCACCGAGGGTGGCCCCCATAAACGAATGCGCCGTGCCAGCGTAATCGGAGGCTATTGGAAAGCCACGTCGAGAGACGGTAGTTTTGCCGTTCGTTTCCAGCGTCCACGTCTGGGTGACGGGTTCAATCCGAGCGACGCCAACCGGCAGGTCTGGATGTTGTTGCCAGTTTGCCCCGGCCACTCTGACATACAATGCCAGCGGAAGGCGTTGTAGCACGATGTCTCGGCCTTCTGCTGTTTCGACGGCGTCTTTGTCGACATCGTGCAGTGTCCAATTCCAAAGGATGCCCCGGGTGTTTTTGAAGAGCCCGAAAGCTTTCAGATCGGACAGGGTTTGCGTGACTCGGATTGGCATGTTGTGGAGAAGGGGCAAGATTCCGACGACACCGCCGGTGGACTGGTCATGGCGCTGTAACCAATTTTCGCGCCGGGCTTGTAATTCCGTCGCCTCCACATGAAAAAGCGGGGTATCTTGAGCAATTATCCAAAGCAACTTGTGCTTGCGAGTGCTGGCGACCCATTTGGCACGAAGGTTGGCTGCAATGTACTTGGCGGCATTCAGCCCATGCACAAACGGATGGTTAAGGAAGTGCTCGGCTTTTGGGTCTTTGCCTACGATGCATCGACGTGCCCTTTCTTGGTGGCAAATTACACATTCCAACTGGTTGGGGGCAGTGGGTTGAAGATGTAGGTTGTTGCAAGTTTTTTGGCCGCAGCTGGCTTCATTGTTTTGAAAGGACCACGAGCCCGCATGGAGTGTTGGAAACCCGTGTAAGAAAGACCACACTTCCTGCGACATGTTTCCATGTCTCGCCTGGTGAAGAATTTGGCTGAGCCAGGCGTCCTCGCACCGCTGTTCGCGGGTGAGCTCAAACAGGTGCGGGATGGCAAGCCAGGTGTGCGACCAACAGATTTGCTGCAGTGCGTTGACTTGGAAGGTTGTGTTTGACTGGAAAGGGTTCTGGTAAATGGCTGTGGCTTTGACTGGCGGGAACTGCCACAAGTCCCCGGGCAAGATGAGGGTGCGCCCTCCGAATGGCCTCCGTTCTCCTCCTGGCCGAAGTTTCCACGTATCCCGATCTCTGGTAGACTGCTGCAGGCGTTTCTCAAGAGTGGCCAATATTTCGAGCCCGACCGTCGAAGATTCATCCACCACCAGCCACCGTAGTCGTTGATACTTAGCGAACTGTTCCGGTGTGCTGGTGTTTTTTGCTCGGGCCGTTTTGGTTTTCACCTGGATATTGGCAAACGAGTGTAGCGTCATGCCAGCAATAAGTGCAGCTTGGGTGTTCTGCGGTGCCAAGTATACAAACTCTTGTTGATGCTGCCACCC